GGATGGATGGATGGATGGATGGATGGATGGATGGATGGATGGATGGTCAGTCTGATGCAACAACAGTTAACCAACTACACTGTATAAAATAGCAGCTGTGCTGTGACGACTGTAGAAACCTGTTCATAAACTTCTGTCTGTTTCCAAACTGATGCTGCTACATGTTAGATACTGACTGCTGAAAACGTCTCTAAATGCTCCCTGTAAGTCCTGATCCCAGGTCAGTTTATTCCAGCCCAGCACAGGGAGCTCTGCGGTTAGCCTGAACAACACTTTGGTGTCTCCATGCTTCCACTAAACACGTTTCATCACCTCAACATGTCGTGTGCTGCTGGAACACGATGACAAAGACCTGTTGTTAGTGGTCATAATGTTTTGACTGAACCACTTTGTAAAAGTTTCAGTTTAAAAAAATGTTTTTAATGTGCTTTAGAACAGATAACACCATAGATCTGTTTTCAGCTGTTCTATATTTTATTGTGTGAATGTTTATGAAGCATTCACTCTGTTGTGATCCATTTTTCTTCTGTATGTTTTTCAACATCTTTCTCATCCCACAGTTTTTAAGCTGTTTCAACAAATCATGAATCAGAACCTTCGGCTCTTTCAGTCTGTCAGTCAGTCACCAATGCTAAAGATCTGCTATGACTTTTGGTATTGGTGCAACTTTAGCTTTTTGAAATATTTAGCCTTTTCTGACACTTTTGTTCTCGTTGAAAATGAATTGAGCTCATTTTACACCCTTCAAATCTTTAGCTGTGTTTACAACCTTTTACTGCTCCTTTCACATTTTGTTCTGCTTCAGCTTCGTTCAGCTTCCTTCTGCAAATTTAAACTTTTTTTCAGCTACTTTCTGCTCATTTCAGTTGTTGTTTTAGCTGTTTTGTGCTCCTTTCAGGTTATTTCTGCTAACTACATTTTTGCACTTCCTCTATCTTCTTTCTGCTAATTTCAGCTTATTTCTGAAAGTTTCAGCTTTTCTGTTATTTTATCTACTATTTAGTTGTTTTATGCTAATTTTAGCTTTTTCAGCTAATTCCACATTTTTTGCACTCATTTAAACTTTTCAGCCTAATGCAGCAAAACTGCTCTCCACTTCTTTCTGGTAATTTAAGCTTCTAGCTGTTTTTTGCCAATTTAAACCTTTTCAACTAATTCCACATTTCCTAATTTTGTGCTAATTTCTGCTTATTTAAACCTAATTCAATAAAAATGTGTCCTTTCTGCTTCCTTCTGCTAACTTAGGCTTGTTCTCTCATTTCAGCTACAATTCAGCATTGTGTTTTTTAAAGCTAATTAAATTTCAGCTGTTTTCAACTAGTTCCTCAGCTATAAGCACTGTATTTTCACAGGAAATGCAATTTCTCTAGTTGTTGCTGCTGTAACACCAGGTGGAGACAGAGAACATGACTGATGTCAAAATACAGATGAAGAACAGCTTCAGTGCAGCTGAACATTGACTGACGGAGCTCTTTAGCTCATGAAGTCAGTTAGAAACCATCTGAACTCACATCAAAGTTTAACATCCAGAAAAAAAACAATCCACAGTTCAGAGCCAGCATCCTTTAAAAACATGGACCTCCTGCCGCCCTCGGGACCACAGGTTCAAACTGCTGAGGTGTGATGGAGTCCAACAGTCTGCTCCTTCAACAATATACAGGTCCTTCTCAAAAAATTAGCATATTGTGATAAAGGTCATTATTTTCCATAATGTAATGATAAAAATGAAACTTTCATATATTTCAGATTCATTGCACACCAACTGAAATATTTCAGGTCTTTAATTGTTTTAATACTGATGATTATGGCATACAGCTCATGAAAACCCAAAATGCCTGTCCCAAAAAATTTGCATATTTCATCCCACCAATGAAAGACAAGTGTTTTTAATACAAAAAACACCAACCTTCAAATAATCATGTTCAGTTATGCACTCAATACTTGATCGGGAATCTTTTTGCATGAATGACTGCTTCAATGCTGCGTGGCATGGAGGCAATCAGCCTGTGGCCCTGCTGAGGTGTTATGGAGGCCCAGGATGCTTCGATAGCGGCCTTAAGCTCATCCAGAGTGTTGGGTCTTGAGTCTCTCAACTTTCTCTTCACAATATCCCACAGGTTCTCTATGGGGTTCAGGTCAGGAGAGTTGGCAGGCCAATTGAGCACAGTAATACCATGGTCAGTAAACCATTTACCAGTGGTTTTGGCACTGTGAGCAGGTGCCAGGTCGTGCTGAAAAATGAAATCTTCATCTTCATAAAGCTTTTCAGCAGATGGAAGCATGAAGTGCTCCAAAATCTCCTGATAGCTAGCTGCATTGACCCTGCCCTTGATAAAACACAGTGGACCAACACCAGCAGATGACATGACACCCCAGTGACTGTGGAAACTTGACACTGGACCTCAAGCAATGTGAATTCTGTGTCTCCTCTCTTCCTCCAGACTCTGGGACCTTGATTTCCAAAGGAAATGCAAAATTTACTGTAATCAGAGAACATAACTTTGGACCACTCAGCAGCAGTCCCAGCCAGGCGAGATGCTTCTGACGCAGTCTCTTGTTCAAGAGTGGCTTGACCTGGGGAATGCGGCACCTGTAGCCCATTTCCTGCACACGCCTGTGCACGGTGGCTCTGGATGTTTCTACTCCAGACTCAGTCCACTGCTTCCGCAGGTCCCCCAAGGTCTGGAATCGGCCCTTCTCCACAATCCTCCTCAGGGTCCGGTCACCTCTTCTCGTTGTGCAGCATTTTCTGCCACACTTTTTCCATTCCCACAGACTTCCCACTGAGGTGCCTTGATACAGCACT